AGGTCCCTTCCCTTCTCTTCTCTGATTTCTGATTTTTTCCTCCTAATACAAATAGGTGTTTATTTATTTATTTAGAGACAGAGTCTTGCTCTGTCACCCAGGCTGGAGTGCAGTGGTGCGATCTCAACTCACTGCAACCTCTGCCTCCTAGGTTCAAGTGATTCTCCTGCCTCAGCCTCCCCAGTAGCTGGGATTATAGGTACATGCCACCACACCCAGCTAATTTTTGTATTTTTAGTAGAGACAGGGTTTTGCCATGTTGGCCAGGATGGTCTTGAATGCCTGACCTCAGGTGATCATTTATTGAGCACCTGCTGTGTGCCAGGCTCCAAGCCGGGCATGTCACCGATCATCTGAAACCAAAAGCAGACACGTGACTTATTCAGGTCCCTACGCTGGCTGGTGGCAGAAAGGGCCTGGAATAGGGAATGGGGGGTAGGCATCTGACTCCCAGCTCAAGGCGACTGCACCAGCTGCTTCCACGTTTTACTTCCTGAGCTGCCCCAGTGACAGGCGGGGAAACTGGGGGTAGGTGGGAGTGGCTTCTTTTTTCTCCCAGGCTGAGGAGGGCCCTGCCACAGGTTGACACTAAATAGTTGTTTCACCCTCCAGTGGCCACAAGCAGCAGTGCAGGTGTCAGGCCTTGGGGGCCCAGGAGGCAGAGTTCCTTCCCACTGTCCCCAGCACCACCACCCTCACACACACACGCAAGGCATCTGTCTGGATGTGACTAGGTCTGTTGGACCATTCCAAAGCACTCACTTTTTTTTTTTTCTTTTTTGAGACGGAGTTTCGCTCTTGTTACCCAGGCTGGAGTGCAATGGCGCGATCTCGGCTCACCGCAACCTCCGCCTCCTGGGTTCAGGCAATTCTCCTGCCTCAGCCTCCTGAGTAGCTGGGATTATAGGCACGCGCCACCATGCCCAGCTAATTTTTTGTATTTTTAGTAGAGATGGGGTTTCACCATGTTGACCAGGATGGTCTCGATCTCTTGACCTTGTGATCCATCCGCCTCAGCCTCCCAAAGTGCTGGGATTGAGCCATCACTCCCAGCCCAAAGCATTCACTTTGTCAAGCATAACCTGCGTGCTGGAGGCAGACGGGCAGACAAGTTCCTGACATTTGTGGAGATCAGGGGATTCCTGAGGCAGTTTAAGCAGAGGTCAGGGAAAGTATCCCAGAGACTTGAAGGATAAGTGGAAATGAACCAGAAAAGACCAGGGGGCGGTTCTGCCTATTCCTAAACTGAGGGAGTGGCTTACACAGAGGCCTGGGGATTTCACTCTGGCTAGAAGGTAAGGGGAAGAGGCATGGTGGAGGAGGAGCCACAGCTGGGGTGGATGGGCTGAGCCATAGGAGGAAGGGTCAACTTTCTCCTGGAGGTACTAGGGAGCCACAGAAGGATTTTGAGCAGGGGAGAGACAGAATCAGATAGAAATGTTATGGGTTTTTCTTTTCTTTTCTTTTCTTTTTAATATAAGCTGAATAGACGGGAAATTTTAGAAAGATCAGCCTGACTGCTGACTGCTGTGTGGGAGGGGTTGGAGCAGGCCAAAGAGGAGGCTGTGCCAGTGCCTGTTCTGGGCCCATCCTGGATACTCGAGGCCCAGGGTTTGTAGGGGCATGAGGGAGGAAAAGGGATCCCACTTTGTCTACAAAACAGGAGCAGGCCCCCTTGGAGAAAAATGACAGTGATCCCAACACTCCAAATCTCTTCTCACAGCCATGCTTGATGTCCCCCAGAGAAAGAGGCAATTCTCAACATTCTGTGGAAGAAGAAACAGAATGAAGAGACCTGCCTGGGTCACATGAAAGCTGGTTGATGGCCAAGCCTCAATTCTGGGGGATTAGAGTGACCCCAAAGTGAAAACATCCCAGTGGCTGGCTCTTCCTTCCAAAATACCTGGCCCTGGGCTATGGGAGGTTTAGCTGAGGAGCCGGGGTGAGGACCCAATGTCCTCAGGCCACCTTCCAGGCTCCCTTGGGTCCTGGTGGACCTCAGGCTCCCCACCCCATGTACCCAGACAATGAGCCCGAGGTCTGCAGTGGGTATCGTCCAACCACAGCCTGCAGGCTTTGTCCTTGGAGACAAGCAGCCTGTCACAGCTGCCTGCTGTAAAGCAGATGGATGGCCCTTGGCTACCGGCCGGACGAGGCCCATGCTCTGCAGAGGGGAGATTAGGCCAGCCATGGCCCAAACCAGTCCCAACCGCTCAGGCCTCAAATCGGGGTCCACTGATGCCCTGCCCCTCCATGGTACCTGGCCATCTTCAGGAGTGATTCCTGAAAATGTGATCCCCTAGAGGGGAGGGAGTTGGGCTGGGGGAGCCAGGGCAGGGACATTGCCAAAGGTGGAAAGGTCGTTGCTTAAGATACAGAGAGAGATTTGGGGTGGGACAGGAAGGGCATGGTGAGGAGGGCCAGAAAGTACACAAAGGAGATGGGCAGCACTGGGATTCGGAGGCTGCCCTGCAGCCCACCCCTTCCTCTCTTTGTGACCTTGGGCCAGTCCCTTGGTGACCTTGGACTCAGTTTGCACATGCGTAAAATGGGCTCCCAAGAATCCCTGCCCTGAGTGAGGTGGTGCAAGTGTAGGAAGGCACAGCTAGGGCCAAGCGGAGAGAGGCTTCATCTTTGGCCTCTCCTTCCACCCTTCTCACTGGCTCTGGAAACTGGGCTTGGGTGGGAAGTGGGTGGGTCGCAAACAGAAAAGAACCAAGTCCTGCCCACGTTTTCCTGGCCCAGGAACCTGGGAAATGCTCTGAGCTCTGCCTCAGATAGAGGCCTCTTGTCTCCTAATTTTTAACTTGAAAATTATCAAACCCAGAGAAAAACTGAAAGAATAGCATACAGAACGCCAATATATCTTCCATTTTGATTCCCCTTTGTGGGAATTAAAAAGTTCCTCTTCAAAGTTTCCTTTCTTGTTAAAGAATAAATCATAAGTGTGCTAATAACTCTTTGTTAAGCCCTATCCAAGGTGGCTGTTAGACATGCATGTAGTATATTCTATGTCCTTGTACTTTAACCAAGATATCTACCTGTGCTGGACATGCTCACAGGCATGTCCCAGCTTGGAGCCTATCCCCTTACCCATTTAGAAAAGTTTTAAGTTATTAGCCAATCAGGTTTTACTTTAGTTTGTGAGGTCTGGCTCCAACCCACGGAGATCAGACACAGCAGTAAGGATAACCCCAAATGCGTCAAGGATAACATGTCTGCTTTTCCTTTGTTCATTGTACTCTCATGGCAAGATGGCTAGCGAGGGTACCCTTTCTGCAGTGTAGGAAGTGAAAAAGTAAAAATTGCTTTGCTGAGAGATCCTTTGTCTCAGTGCTGATTTTTCTTTGTGGCACCCAAGCATCTGTTTCCAACACCCTCCTTTTTCTTAAAATAAACCATCATAAAAGCAAGACCCTGTCTCAATATATATATTAGATATATATAAAACAAAATATATTATACATTATAAATAAAATATATTATATATATGTATTATATATAAAGTATGTAAAATAAAATAAAAATTGTTGCCAGCAAGCCTTTTTTGGAGGGAGGTCAGAGCCTCACTCTGTCACCCAGGCTGGAATGCAGGGGCTTGATCAACAGTCACTGCATCCTCGACCTTCCAGGTTCAAGTGATCCTCACACTACAGCCTCCCAAGTAGCTGGGACTCCAGGTGTGCACCATCACTCCCAGCTAATTTTTAAATTTTCTGTAGAGACAGGGTCTCCCTGTGTTGCCCAGGTTGGTCTCAAACTCCTGGCCTCAAACTATCCTCCTGTCTGGGCCTCCCAAAGTGCTATGACTACAGGCATGAGACATTGCACCCGGCCTGGCAAGCTACCTTTTAAATACGTTTTTGACAAGAATGCAAATGGACTGTGTGCCAGGCACCATGTATTAGCTACGGGCTTGGTACATGTTAAGTCAAAGTAACTTAAATCTCACAGCAACTCCATGAGTTATGCACGGCTTATCATCCACACATTACAGATGGGAAAACTGTGGCTTGGAGAAGAAATGAGGTGCCACACCTTAGGTCAGAGTCATCATGAACTTGGATGAACCTGGATGGATCTATCTGCCCGCAAAGCATGGCCCTGAGGTCATTCAGTCTAACCTCCCTCCTAGCGGCTGAGGAACTGGAGCTGGGAACAGGGGAGGGACCGGCGGGTGAAGGGGAGGCCACTAACTCAGGCCCTGGCGCCTCGCGGAAGAGGGACGCGCAGTGGCGGACAAACTTCGCATCTCTCTCTCAGACCTCAACGAGTTGGTGAGAAAAGTGGGTGCCAAGGGGCTTGAGGGCGCGAATGCAGGCAGAGTTGAACGAGGGAGTGCTTCTCAGAGTCCAGGAATCCCTGCTACTGAGGCCAGGGAGATATGCCCCTAAACTCCTACTCCATACATCCATGGGGGATCTTTGCCTCTGCATCCCCTCAACCCTTCAGCCTCCCTCTGCAGCCCTTGCCCTGGCTCTACCCCTATTTCCTTCCCCAGATAGGCTCTCTCTGCCCTCCCTGAAGTGCCTTTAGAATGGCCTGGATGAAGATCCGAAGAGCCAGGTTCAAAGCCCAACTCAGCCACTGGCCTAACCGGGGATGAGAGCCCTCAGTTCTTCTCTGGAAAATGGGTACGCCCCCTTCCCCAGCCCTTTCTCGCAGCAGGTGGAAGGTACAGAGAAGCATCCTGTAGGGAGCCGGCTCAGGGCAGGTAGTAGGCCAGGCACTGGGTGCTCCCTCCTACCCGACCATCTTCCACTAGTTTGCTTTGGATCCAAGTCTCACAAGCGACCCCTTCTAATCGGGTGACTTGAACCCGTGTGTTTGGGGGAGAGGTGCCTGAAGCTCTCCTCCCACCCACCTGGAGTCAGGCCTCTGGCCGAGACGGGTCGGCGGCCCAAGAGAGCGGGGTGGGGAGTCAAAAGGGGCGTGGCCAGGGGAGGGGTCACCTGTGGCCGAGGGGCGGGGTCTCCTAGCACCGCCCCGGGCACCACCCAGGGCCGGCCTCCGCCTCCCCGACTTCAGTCCCAGCAGACGCCTCGCAGACGGTGAACTGCCACAGGCGCCAGGCCAGGCGAAGCGGCTGAGGAACTGGAGCTGGGAACAGGGGAGGGACCGGCGGGTGAAGGGGAGGCCCCTGACTCAGGCCCTGGCGCCTCGCGGAAGAGGGACGCGCAGTGGCGGACAAACTTCGCCTCTCTCTCTCGGACCTCAACGAGTTGGTGAGAAAAGGGGGTGCCAAGGGGCTTGAGGGCGCGAATGCAGGCAGAGTTGAACGAGGGAGTGCTTCTCAGAGTCCAAAATGCCCGAACCACTGCGTCCTCTGGTGAGGGGAGGATTTTCCTGCTGTCTGGAAGAGGGAAAAGGGGTCAATGATCACTGGTGATGGCTCAGGCGCCATCACCAGGTGGCAGGAGGCCGGGTGGCAGGACACTGTTTCTGAGGCACTTTTGCATAATGCCAGGGCTGGAACAGAGACCCATGAGGCTCTTCCCTGCCTGCAGAGCCCTCCAGGTTGCCGGGAGTGACCCCCAAATCACCCAGGGTTAGTGTATCCCTGCTAAGCACAGCGCCTGGCTGTGGCACATCCACCAGCAGTGCTGGATGGCTGAAGGGACTGCAAGCTGAACCTGGAGGAGGTGCCACTGAGAGACGGGGAGGCCAGTCCAGGCAGGAGGGATGGCATGATCACAGGTCCGGAGAAGGGAGACTCAGAAATGGACGCATCTTGGGGAGCGGGAGGGGGAAAGGTGGCTGCACCGAGGAGCAGTGGATAGCTGAGGCCAGGGAACTCATCAGAGGCCTGACCAAGCAGAGCTTTGAATGCCGAGCAGAGAACCCCAAAGAACACAGAGAAGCCCACCTAGCCCTGAGCTTCCCCCATCCCCCGCAGGGACCCTGAGCTCTGTTTTGCCCCTCTCTGGCCATCGCCTGCTGCTGCCTCCCCCTCTCCCAGCTCTCCAGGGAAACAGTGTTTCTCTGCTTCAGTCCTGAAGGGGCTCCTGGAGACCATCTTTTGTGCAAGTAAATGTCGTCCCCGGTGGGTGGGCCACCCCATCCTGGGCTCCCAGCCCACTGGTTGGCTCCCAGCTCAGTGGGGTCTGGGAGCCACACAAAGGGCGAACGGACCCTGCAGAAGTCCGAGGGGGAAGTAAGGCAAAACTCCGCGCTGCTTTCCTCTCGCTTTGTTTTTTTTCTTAGTCCACGCTGGCCCGCCGTGACCCCTGCTGTCTGTCACCTGCTCTGCTGGATCCAGGATGGCCCCATGGTGTTACTGTCTCCTCTGCCTTCTGGTACCTACACCTCTGGGAGGGCAGTGCCAGGGAGGAGGTCAAGGGGACTCACAGCTTGGAAGGTTTCAAGTGGCCATCCCACCTCATGAGGTCACCGCAAAGGTCACACAAGATGAGCCCCAGCACAGATGGAATAAAAGCCCTCACTAACCCCACTTACTCATCAGCCTGGGAAAAGGCTCAGGGCTGCGAAGGGACCTCCCAAGATCACACTCTGGGTGGTGGGAGATGAATCCAGGTCTGACTGCAGAGCCTGCAGCTTCCACTGAATCCCGCCCCTCCCAGCTACCCCCAGAGTAGGCATTCCATAACTGCAAGTGTGGGGGAGGGCAGCCCAGCCTCTGCTTGTCTTCTCTCCCAGATCAGGAGTCTCTCTGGGACGCCCTCCAATTCCCCAGGTGAATCAAGGAACCCTTGGGTCCCAGGTTGGTATGAGGGATCCCCCAGGGAGGGTTCCCATCCCCCAGCTAAGCAAGTCTGTGGTCCAGGGGGTGCACCAGCCTAGGATGCAAAGGAAGGGAAGAAAGACATTTCGTTCCACACCCACCAAACCAGGCCCTGCAAGGAAAGCTTCACTGGTTTCCATCTCATTTCCACCGTTGTGCAGATGACGAAACAAGTTCTGTAAGAGGACAGGACTCAGCCGGCCAGACATGGCTAGAGTTCAGCCCTATCCAGGCCTGAATGACTCCAAGCCCAGTGTCCTTAGCTCCGCCCAGCCCAGGAAGGGTCAGATGCCCACAAAATGCACCCCATACTGTCTCTCCTATCATTTGCAGCCCCCATGGCCCCCGGCGAGGTGGTGGAGACTGCAGGTGGGGTGTGCAAGTTCTCTGCACAGCGGCTGAGCTGGTGGCAGGCCCAAGAGTCCTGCGAGCAGCAGTTTGGCCACCTGGCACTGCAGCCCCCTGATGGAGTTCTTGTTTCACGGCTGCGCGATCCAGTCTGGATGGGCCAAAGAGAGGCCCCTCTGAGGAGACCCCCGCAGAGGCGTGAGTGTGGGCCCCTGGGAAATGGAAGCAAGGGGCAGAGGCTCCAATGACCTTCAGAGATGACAGCCCACAGTGACCACACTTGCAGAATGAGCCGGGAATAAGACCCCATTACATCTCCAGCTTCCCTTGCCCTGGACTGGACATCCCGGCCCAACTCCTGGGCAGCGGAATGCTAGCCCCCATTTCCTCCTTCCTGAGGCTGGGAGGCACCCCAAAGCCTCGAAGGGCCCCACCCTTGGGCAGGAGCAGGACCCTGTACACAGGTGAGGAAACTGAGGTCGCGGCCCACGTGTCCCCGCAGGTACGCACACCACCGCCGCGCTGGTGTTCGGCGAGAGGACGGCTGACCGGGCGGCGCGGCTGCGGAGCCCCCTGCCCGAGTTGGCAGCGCTGACCGCGTGTGCTCACCTGCAGTGGGACTGTGCCTCGCCTGACGCCGCCGCTCTCTTTTCCGTTGCCGCACCAGCGCTGCCCAACGCGCTGCAGCTGCGCGTCTTCGCCGAGCCGGGGGGCGTGGTGCGCGCTGCGCTGGTGGTGCGTGGGCACCACGGGCCCTTCCTCTCCGCCTTCCGCGCCGACGGCCGCTGGCACCATGTGTGCGCCACGTGGGAGCAGAGGGGAGGGCGCTGGGCGCTGTTCTCCGACGGGAGGCGGCGCGCTGGGGCGCGGGGGCTGGGCGCGGGCCACCCGGTGCCGTCTGGCGGCATCCTGGTGCTGGGCCAGGATCAGGACTCTCTGGGCGGCGGCTTCTCAGCGCGTGACGCCTTCAGCGGCAACCTCACTGACTTCCATCTGTGGGCGCGGGCGCTGAGCCCCGCACAACTGCAGCGGGCACGGGCCTGCGCGCCGCCCCACGAGGGCCTACTCTTCCGCTGGGACCCGGGCGCTCTGGACGTCGCGCCCTCGCTGCTGCCCACGGTGTGGGTGCGCCTTCTCTGTCCCGGTACGGGCCGCCCCGCCTCGGCCCCACCCCATGGCGGTGAATCCTTCCCTTCAGTCCCCGGGACTCGACCCACCCCTTGCCAACCAAGCCACGCCCAGCTCTGGCCACGCCCTCTCCGGGCCGGCTGGCCTGAGAGTTCCAGCAACAACTTGTTCCCAGCAGCCTGGGACTCTATGCGCGTCCCCTGGCCGCCTTACCCCAACCCCGTGCGGGCCACAGTGTCCCTCTCTCAGGTCTCACATTGCCCCCTATCCCCGGGGGCAGTGCGTCCTGGCTCGCCAGGGTGCGCAGGACTCCTAGGGAACTCTGACACCTCCCCCGGCCCTGCCAGTGCCCTCCGAGGAGTGCCCCACATGGAACCCGGGACCTCGCACCGAGGGCTTGGAGCTCTGCCTGGAGCCACAGCCCTTCCTCTGCTGCTACCGGACAGGTGCGCCCTGGCTGTGGCCCTAGGCTCTGCTGAAGGGGAAGCCGTTGTGGAACGGAGTAGATTGAGAAGGAGGTGAACTGTTGACAAAGCTGGGAATTCAGAGTCTTCTCAAAGCTTTCAAGGTCTCTGTGGAGTTTAGCCTACAGAGCAGTGGGTACAGACGGACCAGAGGGTGAATCCCAATTGTGTGACCTTAGGCAAGCTCTTTGGCCATTCTGTGCCTCAATTTTCCCATCTAGAACACTGTGTGTAAGGCTCTGGACACACAGCCATCAAGGTGCTCTTCTTCCCCTGGGTAGCACATGGTGGGTGGAGGTCCCTGAGCAGGCTGGCCACCTCTGGGCAGGGGCGTTGCCTGGGGTCCAGCCTGGCATCCCCTCCTCTGCAGAGGCCTATCGGCGGCTGCAGGATGCCCAGTCATGGCCTGGCCAGGATGTTATCAGCAGAGTCAATGCCTTGGCCAATGACATTGTGGTAAGCTCCCTTACAGGGGCTGGAGAGCCTGGGGGCTCCGTGGGTCACCTCGATGTACCTCAGTTTCCTCCTCTGTAAAGGGGACACACGCCTGAAGTGTCTGCAGGAATTGAGGCCATTCAGGCTCCCTATTCTGTAGCCCCTGAGAGTTGGGGGCTTGTGATAAGTTTGATGGGTGCCCACCAATAAGACCCTGGCAGAACCCAAGTGTGGCCCCTGCGGGGATCCCCTCATGACAACCAGACCCAGAATCAGTGGCTCCTCTGTCCACAGCTCTTTCCAGACCCCCTCTCTGAAGCCCGTGGGGCTCTGTCCCCAGCAGAGGCCTCCAGCTTCCTGGGCCTTCTGGAGCATGTCCTAGCAATGGAGGTGTCTTCTCTGGGGCCGGCTGCACTGCTGGCTGTTGTGTGCTTCCTGAAGAGGGTGGCGGCCATTGGGGCTGGGGAGCCGGAGCTGTTGTTGACAGAGCCGTGGGAGCAGCTGGGCCAGGGCGTCGTATCCGTGGCCAGCCTGGTCCTGGAGGAGCAGGTGGCTGACGCATGGCTGTCCATCCATGAGGTGAGGCTGGCAGGGCTGGGTGGGGCAGGGGCCTGGGCTGTGGTTCTAGCCTAGCCATCAGCTGGTTGTGTAGCTGTAGGGGAGTCAGCCCCTAGCTCCAGGCTCCATCTCTGCACCCATTGGGAGAAGCTTCTCTTTTGTCTATTTGATAAGTTGAACTTCCAGAAACAATTGCACTGGAGGTCGGGTATGGTGGCTCCTGCCTGTAATCCCAGCACTTTGGGAAGCCAAGGCAGGTGGACCACTTGAAGTCAAGAGTTCAAGACCAGCCTGGCCAACATGGTGAAACCCTGTCTCTACTAAAAATACAAAAATTAGCCAGGTGTGGTAGCAGGTGCCTGTAATCCCAGCTACTTGGGAGGCTGAGGCAGAAGAATCGCTTAAACCCGGAAGGCAGAGGTTGCAGTGAGCCAAGATTGCACCACTGTGCTCCAACCTGGGTGACAGAATGAGACTGTCTCAAAAAACAAAACAAAACAAAAACAAAAAACAATTGCACTTGAACAAAACTTCTGCAGTTAAATGAAGTGTTGAAAAGCTGCCAGTCAGTAAGAGCCTCCCCCATCTCCAAGAATCTGCTGACCACCTTAAGTGGGGGAGCTGTGCCAAGTGGACGGTCCACCTTGTCTGCCTGAACAGTCCAGACACTCTGGACAACATTAGAGGTGCTATCCAGATGCAGAGGCTGTTGGAAACTTCGTTCTGGCAGAAGTGGCTGTCGGCCTGGGAGTGATCAGCCCAGAGCAGGGAGGGAACAAGAATCATGGACAGTGCCTGCAAATTCTCTGGGGCTGAAGGAGCAAACATGGTCCCCCGTGGGCCTCAGAGGACAGAATTGGGACTAAGACATGGGGGTAGGGGAAAGACGGCATAACACAGGAGGCTGGTTCTATGGAATGGTGCACCACGGGTAATGAGCTCCCCATCCTGGGAAGTGTGCAAGCCCACAGTTGATTAGGGATCCAAGGCACTGCAGTAGACTGGGGAAAGCTAGACTGAAGTTCAGTTTTCACCCCCGGGGGAATGTGGATGATCACACCGCCCTTGCTAAGGCAATGGAGAGGCATTAAGGGATGAACAGTGTGAATTGCCCAGCACAGAGTAGGTGCCCCATAAATGCACGTTCCTCTCCTCCCTCCCTGCTCTCACTACCCACCCCCGCCGCCCCATGGCTTTCCTTTCAGAATCTCAGTGTTGCGCACCCATTATAGGTCTAGTACTGAGCCACAGTGAAGGCGGAGGCATGGCCCAGCCTTCCGAGTGTGCTGTAGTTGGCAAACAGGCCAGCAGGCACAGAGCGCCGCTCGACTGGAGGATGGGGTGGTTGGGAGACAGAATTGGACAGACCAAAGGAGGCTGGGACAGGCGGGGCTTCAAATGTCAACCTGAGGACCCAGGACTTGATCCTGGAGGCCCTAAAGAGCCACGGAGGGTCTGGAGAGGGCGGGAGCACCTCCCAGATCATGGAGCATTTTCCCCAGCACTCAGAGCAGGCGGCAGTGGGGTGCAGAGTCTGACAAGGAGCTGAGATGCAGCGTCCTCCCAGGTGGTTGGTGGGCCTATGGCCCTGGTGGCGAGTGTGCAGCGGCTGGCACCCCTGCTGAGCACCACGATGACCTCAGAGTGGCCCCAAATGCGCATCCAGTACCGTCATGCTGGTGAGCCTGCACCCACCCACCCATAGCCCACACGGCTGGACTCAGCCCTCTTTCCTCAGCCCTGGTGACTGGGAACTGTCTGTGCCTCCACAGACACTCCAATCTGTTTGCTGCCTTTGCTGATGCTGTGCCCTGCATCCAGAATGCCCTCTCTCTCTTGATCTCCTAGCAAACACCTATACCTCCTTCAGAACCCTGCGTGAACATCACTCCCTCTAGGAAGCCTTCCTGTTTTAGCTCTCTCCTCCTCTGAGAGATAGTTCCTCCCGCCTCTGTTACCCCAGAACCTTGAACATGTCTTTCCTTGCACTTCTGGTAATGACGTAATGGGGTGATCTCCCTCCATGGGACACTCCCTGAGTGGTAGGGCTGTTTCTGAACTGTCTCTGCATCTTGGGGCCAAGCCCAAGTGCACACTCCACGACTGCTTATAGTCTGAGGGGGGTGCACCTGTGGTGGAGCTTCAGGTACAAACCCGTGTCCCTCGGGCATCCACCAGTTTCTGTTGACTCATCGATATTCACATCCTGCCTCTCAGTGACCCCCCTTTCTCAGTGGCCCCCTTCCCCTGGATTTGAAAAAGTCAGATTTGCTTTGGGCAAGTTGCTGCAACTCTCTGAGCAGGAATGGTGGCCTCCTAGGCCTGTGGCAGGAAGAGAGGGATGCACACCCTGCCAGCTGGGCCTGCTCGGCAGAAAGACCTCCAACCGACGTCTAGCCACCCAGCTTCATTTGCCCCCAGGCCTGGAGGTGCGGAGCTTACGGTTGAGGGAGGCCAGCAGGAGCGGCTGCTTATTCACAATGCCCGGTGGGCGTCCCGAAGGCTCCAGTCACATCCACATTCCTGCGGGTGAAATGAGGCGACTCCTTGGGGAAGGTGGGTGAGGATGATGGGGTGGCCAGAGCCCTGTTGGGTTCTGGGTCAAACCTCAGCTCTAACCATTGCCAGCTGTGCTGCTCATCTTTCAGAGCCTCAGTTTCCTCATCTGTAAGATGGGCACATTACTATTTGCCTTGTGGCTTATGAGGTTAAAAGCAACCACTGCATAGTGGTGTTCACTTAGTCTCCTCCACTGAACCACGCACATCTTTCCTCAGGAGTGGGTGGTGGGGAGAGACCCCTCCGTGTGATGTCATGCAGGGGTGGGGGACTGGGCAAGGGGCAAAGGGACTTGAAGTTGTAAGGTTAAGCACATGGACTGTGGCTGGTTGGAATTTAGGCTCCGCCACGTCTTAGCTGTGTGACCTTAGGGAAGTCATTTAACCTCTCTGAGCCTCAGTTTCCCTATCTGTAGAGTGGGGAGAGCATCATCCTCAGGGCCAACTGGTGGTGCTTGCCCAGCCACTGGGTGTTGCCTTGGTGCCCCTTCCACTCAGCCAGGCCTCTCTGGAGTCACCGTGATTCACAGTTGGTTCACCTCCAGAGTCTTCCAGCAGACCCTGTGGGGGCTGGGCCTAGAGCCCCAGGCCCCTGCCAGCTCAGAGGAGGCAAACAGGGTGCAGAGGTGAGTAGGTACCACCTGGAGCACTGTGAGGGCCTGTGTCCCCTCCCCAGGGAGGGCCAGGGTCCCCATTGTGGTGGCCAAATGTGTTTTAGCAGCCCAGAACCCACCCTTTCCCACCCCTGCCCGACACACACACACTTTTGCACCTGCCGGAGGTGAACATGACTCAACTCTTGTCTGGGGTTCTGGCTTCTGTGTTGGGACTTACCCAAGTTACCAGCAAGTCCCTAAGGCAAGACTGAACCAGGTGCCATAATTCCTGCTGTCTCTTTGGACACAGAGGCTGCCTCCTCCACTATAGGGACCTGGGTGACACGCCCCAGCCAGGCACCATCCCTCCTCCGCTGCCACCCTTGAAAGCTCTCATTCTTCCCACAGGTTCCTAAGCACCCAGGTGGGGTCAGCCATCATCTCCTCTGAAGTGTGGGATGAAACTGGAGAGGTCAGCATGGCTGTGAACTTTCATCTGCAGCACCAGGCCCAGGTACTGGGTGGCGCTTCTGGGAAGCCGGCATCCTGGCGCACTTATCCTGATTCAGTTCCCCCAACCCCCAATATTTATTCATTGGACAACCAAGGACTAATAATGCACACAGAATATACCTGTGAGGCACCTCCATTGCCCTCAAGGGAATGGAGAGGGAAGCAACTGACTGCAGGGTCACCTTATGGCAGGGGCCACAGATACACAGCATTCATTTACTCCTCCAGCTACAAAGAGATCGAGACCATCCTGGCCAGCATAGTGAAACCCCGTCTCTATTAAAAATACAAAAATTAGCCATGCATGGTGGCTTGCGCCTGTGGTCCCAGCTACTCAGGAGGCTGAGGCAGAAGAATCGCTTGAACCCGGGAGGTGGGGGTTGCAGTGAGCCGAGATTGCACCACTGTACTCCAGTCTCGGCAACAGAACAAGACTCCATCTCAAACATCTCTCCTTATCAGTAGCCAGCGGCCTGTGTGTTCATCTTACCAGATGCAGTGTCTCAAGGAGGGGAGAGGGGCAGTCGCTTAACCACTCCTCGGTCATGTGATGGCTGCTCAGCTCCTCCCCAGCTTTTCCACCTTGCTTACCATGCTGGAATGAGAGCCTGCTCTCCTCTCCTCCCTCTGCCTCCGCTCTGCCCTTTCACCCACGATGCATGGTGGGCAACCCCCTGGTCCCTCAAACCCAGAGTCTCCAGTATCCCTGCCTCCTCCTGATCTCTCTCCTTGCTCATCCACACTCACATCTGCCCCGTGCCCCCCAGTCTATGCTCATGCGCCAGTCCTGTCCCTGTCTCCTGCCTGCAGGCCTTCCGTCAGAAGCTGGTGGAGCCTGTCTGTGCTTTCTGGAACTTCAGTATCAAGTGAGTTTCCATTCGCAGGTTCTTTAACCAGCCTAGAGTGCAGTAGCACAATATCGGCACACTACAACCTCCACCTCCCGCGTTCAAATGATTCTCCTGCCTCAACCTTCCGAATAGCTGGGATTACAGGCAGGCACCACCACCCCTGACTATTTTTGTATTTTTAGTAGAGATCAGGTTTTGCCATGATGGCCAGGCTGGTCTCAAACTCCTGACCTCAGGTGATCCACCCGCCTCAGCCTCCCAAAGTGCTGGGATTACAGGTGTGAGCCACGGAGCCCGGCCTTTAAGACAATTTTTTAAAAAGACATCGACTCTGCTTGGGGATGAGGCAGGATGCATGGTTTTGGTTTTGGCCTTCATTCACCACCTGCCTTTCAGGGTGACTCCAGCCTCCTCCCTGCTCCAGGACAAGCTGGGGCAGGAAGATGTATTACCCAGGGGGTGGTGAGCTCCCTGTCACAGGAGATATGTGAAGGAGGAGGCACTCACTCTGTGAGGTGCCTTGGAAGACTCATCTTGTCAAATGGGTTTTGAACTTGATCTATCTTAGGCCAGGGCCCCAGGGCTCTTGAAGGAGCAAAGCAGGCTCCAGGGATTAGCCTGGCTCCCGGCCTTAGATCTTCAGCTGAGATAGGGAGCCCTTGGTCCCAGGGGCTCAGTAATTAATGAAGTTGATAAATGGCAGTCACTGGTACCAGCCCTGCCCTCCTGCCATCCTAAGAATGTCAAGCACATTTTACAGGTGAACAACTGAGGCCCAGGAAGGGGCGGTGACTCGCCAAGGTCACGAAGCTGCTTAGAGGCAGGGCAGTGACTGGCCCCTCACCCCCTTATCTCAAGAGCCCTCTGTTCCCTCCTCATCCCCCAAGCCCATATGCAGGGGGTGCCTGGGCCACCACGGGCTGCTCCGTGGCTGCCCTGTACCGGGACTCCACCGCCTGCTTCTGCAACCACAGCACCAGCTTTGCCGTCCTGCTGCAAGTCTATGATGTACAGGTGAGTGCAGCTGGGAGGGGCTGTCAGGAGGGGGGTTCTCAGCCAGAGGTGAAGAAAAGAGCCAATAGGTAGTAAGAAGAGGCCTTTGGCTGGACGCAGTGGCTCATGCCTATAATCCCAGCACTTTGGGAGGCTGAGGTGGGCAGATCACGAGGTCAGGAGCTCAAGACCAGCCTGGCCAGGATGATGAAACCCCGTCTCTACTAAAAATATAAAATTAGCTGGGCACGGTGGTGGGCGCCTGTAATCCCAGCTACTCGGGACACTGAGGCAGGGAATTGCTTGAACCTGGGAGGTGGAGGTTGCAGTGAGCCAAGATCACGCCACTGTACTCCAGTCTGGGCAACACAGTGAGACTCCATCTCAAAAAAAAAGAAGCCTCTGAGGGATGCCAGCTTTCACAGATCGTGGGGGACAGGGCTGGGTTCAGTGGCTCATGCCTGTTGTCCCAGCACTTTGGGAGGCCTTGAGCCCAGGAGTTCAAGACCAGCCTGGGCAACATGGAAACCCCATCCTTCCCTGTGGCCACGTCTGTCAGTGCTCTTAGTAGCTGTCCAATCAGTGGAATACTGGTCAACTGGGGTCAGTCTAGGGAGAGCCAGCAGGAGAGAAGGATGTACTCATGCCTGCTTTTTTTTTTTTTTTTTTTTTTTTTTTGAGATGGAGTTTCGCTCTTGTTACCCAGGCTGGAGTGCAATGGCGCGATCTCGGCTCACTGCAACCTCCGTCTCCTGGGTTCAGGCAATTCTCCTGCCTCAGCCTCCTGAGTAACTGGAACTACAGGCACGTGCCACCATGCCCAGCTAATTTTCTTTTGTATTTTTAGTAGAGACGGGGTTTCACCATGTTGACCAGGATGATCTCGATCTCTTGACCCTGTGATCCACCCGCCTCGGCCTCCCAAAGTGCTGGGATTACAGGCATGAGCCACCACGCCCGGCCCCATGCCTGCTTATTAAACACCTACTGCATGCAGGCCCGGGCCCTGCTTCGAGGCGAATGTGGCGTGGGGAGCCTTAGAGTCACCAGGCAGGGCGAAGTCTGGCCTGGCTCAGGTCTGGGTGGTGCCTGGAGGTTTCTCTATCCCTCCACACAGAGAGGCCCTGAGGAGGAGTCGCTGCTGAGGACCCTCTCGTTTGTGGGCTGTGGCGTGTCCTTCTGCGCTCTCACCACCACCTTCTTGCTCTTCCTGGTGGCCAGGTGAGGAGAACGCACCACTGTGACCTGGTGGCCTGGGCCTTCCCCACCCCGCACAGGCCTCCATGTCTTCATCAGTCGGGTGTCCATCCTTGGCCCCAGGGTGCCTCGGTCTGAGCCTCTCCTTAGGATGTGTTGAGCCCCGCAGAGCTGCCCTCTCTCTCCATCTGCCCAGGCAGGGGACCAGGCGGGGCAGGGCCCTACAGGGTGTGAGAATTGGCAGTGGTGTCCTTGTTAACTGACTCCTCTGCCCCTCCAGGGTCCCCAAGTCGGAGCGAACCACAGTGCACAAGAACCTCACCTTCTCCCTGGCCTCTGCCGAGGGCTTCCTCATGGCCAGCGAGTCGGCCAGGGGTAATGAGGTGGGCAGCCAGTGGGTGGGCTGAGAGCCAGGGAGGCCTGGGAAAGTGCCTGTAGGCTTTTCTAGGGTGACCCCTGCCCCCGACATTTTCACATGGCTTCATTTCCCTGAAGAGGAGCAGGACCCAGGGAAGAAAGGCCCTGAATGGTGGGCAGGGCCCAGGCTGCTGTCCAGAGGCCTTACCCACTGACACCTCTTAGGGTTGGCAAGGCCAGGCTGGGCATGGGGCCCCAGGGCCAGCCTGCACCTGCAGCTGACCTCAGACCTCCGTGGGGACCCCCACCCTCCCACAGGTGGCGTGTGTGGCTGTCACCATCTTGATGCACTTCCTCTTCCTGGTGGCGTTCTCCTGGATGCTGGTGGAGGGGCTGCTGCTGTGGAGCAAGGTGGTGGCCGTGAGCATGCTCCCTGGCCCACGCATGTGGCTCTACCATGCTACCGGCTGGGGTGAGGCCTGCTCTGTGCCTGTGCTGTACCTTGAACCCCAGACCCTGCCATCTAACATGGCCCTTGCCCAGCACTCAGCACCCAGCACTCAGCATCCAGCACTTAGCATCACCCAGCACCCAGCACCACCCAGCATCCAGCATTTAGCATCACCCAGCACCCAGCACCATCCAGCCCCATCTCTGACATGACCTCAATTCCTCAGTTCTATTAACTTTCAATTTACCCAACCCCATTCCTCATCATCCTCCTCCACCTCACTGCCTTCCTCCCCATCCCAAGTGCTGTCTCAACTAATCTGTGGCCAGCCAGTTGCCCAGCCTCCACCTCCGGAGATGCCCAGCCATAGCCTCCAAAGCAGCCTCAGCTCTCCCGACTGCCAAACTACCGTGGCTCCAGTGCCACCCCAACAGTATCAGAGTCCCCAGCCCTACTCCTTGGGCCTCCCCAGTGTCCCCAGCACAACCTCCAATACGGGACAACTACAGCTTGCAGGGTGGGGCCTGGGTCCTGGAGAGGAAAGAGCAGGTGACCTGGCCCTGAGGCCCCTTCTCCCTCCCCTAGGCGTGCCTGTGGGCATCGTGGCGGCCACTCTGGCCACACGCCCCCGTGACTATGTGGCCCCCGGACACTGCTGGCTCAGTGTGCACACAGACGCCATCTGGGCCTTTGTGGGGCCTGTGCTCTTCGTGCTGACTGTGAGCCGGGGACCTGCAGGGGAGGGACATGTGGGGACAGAAAGTCCCCTCGCCCACTGACCCCAGGTCTCCAGGCCAACACCTGCATCCTTGCCCGTGTGGTGATGGTCACCGTGTCCAGCGCCCGCCGCCGTGCCCGCATGTTGAGCCCACAGCCCTGCCTGAAGCAGCAGATCCGGACCCAGATATGGTGAGGGCCTGGAATGGGGGGACAAGAGGAAGTAAGGAGTGCTGGCGCCAGGCAGGAGGCTCACTGGGCAAGAACCTGTGCAACTCTGTGTCCAGAGCATGGCCATGCGGCCATGCCCGAGTCTGTATTATGTCGGTGGTGACAGAAGTCCCTGCAACTGTTTCGCACACACTCGGGCATGTCAACATGTGTCAACATGCACCGTTGCGTGTCACATGTGGGGACGGTCACTGATCCGTGTGAGGGTTGTGGACGCCAGCCACTGTTCGAGGGTGCACTCTCTGCAGAAGGTACTAATGGCCTGCAGGGGACAAAGTAGGGGAGATGCTCAAATCAGGTTAGTCCCAGAAGTTCAGGTTCAGGGTCTGGGTCCCTGTTCCTGCCAAAGACCCCCATTGCCCTCTGGGGTCACGCTCGAGAGAGAGGGGAATCCCACTGGCCTTCTTCCCCAGCCCTGCCTCCTTGCTGGCCTTCCCTTTCCCCACCCATCCTTCACCAAGTACAGGGCAGCCCAAGCCGGGGGTTCCCCAAAAAGTCAGGGAACCCCAGGGCCCTTAGAGAGGAAGAAGGGAGTCTTTCTGACCCCATCCCTGCTGGTCCTACTGCTCAGGACTCAGTCCCCACTCTGGACAGCTGCCACCCCATTCCAGCCAAGTTGGGGGCTGGGACCCCATCTCCATAGTGCCACTACCCTACTTCATGCCACCTCTGTCTTTGAGGAGGGGGCAACAAAGTCCAGTCAAAGATCCTGGCTCCCCTTAGGTCCTGCTGAGCCGTGCTCCCCCTAAATCCTGCTGAGCCGTGGTCCCCCTTGGTCCTGCTGAGACGTGGTCCCCTCGGTACTGCTGAGCCGTGGTTCCAGTCCTCAGCTCCTGCCCCTCTCTAGTCACTTACAGGTGCTGCTCTCCCTGGAACCCTGCAGGGAGCTCGCTAGGCCCACCAACCCCCATCAGCCCTGTCTGCCCTCCTACAGGGCCACAGTGAAGCCTGTGCTGGTCCTGCTGCCTGTCCTGGGCCTGACCTGGCTGGTGGGCATCCTGGTGCACCTGAGCCCCACCTGGGCCTACGCTGCTGTGGGCCTCAACTCCGTCCAGGTACCTCCATACCCCAACCTTCTGGGACAAGGCCCTGATGTGCATGGCAGCTAAGAGGGGATGACTGGTGTGCCGGGGTCTGGAGGGGTGAGCTCTCCATCCTGGGAGGCATTCAACAGAAACTGGGACATTCTATCAAAGAAGGATTTTGAGGGTGGGAGTGGGAACAGGCAGCCTCCAACCAGCTTTTAGGGCCCCTTTGCCAGCTGGGGAGGCTGAGGCCCAGAAAGAGTGTGCTTGGACACTCAGAGTCTGGCAGAAATTCCAGCCTCCAGGCTGATACCAGAGCCACTCAGTTCTTGCCAGGAGGCTGGGGAGGGGCACAGGGCATCGGTCACCTCTCCTTGGGGTCTGCAGCCTGCTGGGATGGCAGTTTAGAAGAGGGGTTGGTGAGAAGGCGGTGCTCGACCTGTTAGGAATCAGCAATTGCCGGCCTCAGGAAGGGGCCAGGGCTCCCCAGCCGCTGGGGGCCTGTGTTCTGGAACCATCGGGATGGGGCCAACTAAATCCTTCTGGGGGGGGGGGGATTGGCAGGTCTGTGGGGGACCAGAACATTAACTGAAGTGACAGCTGGGGGCCTGGGTGCTGGGAGTCAGAGAGACCCACCGAGGCCCTTCCCGGCGCCTCCCTTTCCCTCGACCTCCCTGGACCATCCCCCCGGTAACATTCCCATCGCCTGCACCCCCTGCCCCCTGCTTTCCCAGTGCAGGTCCCTCTCAGGGCCAAAAGTTAGGTGGGTGAGGGCCCAGGCTGGACTACACAGGCTCAGGAAGTCAGGTGCAAACCCCCCACAGGGTCGGTGTGCCCTCAAGCTGGGAACTCTTCTTTTCCTTGGAGAAGGGGGCCGAGGTGGTAACAGCGGCTCACAGTGCCTGGGTGCTCCCTAGCCCCTGGCCAGGCTCCTGTTTTTATCTCCCAACAAGCCTTTTAAGTGGGGAAACTGAGACCTCATGAGGTCCCTTGCCCAAGGCCCCACAGGAGGCAACAGTCACGCTGGGCACATCACTCCAGAGCTTGCGTTTTCAGCCACAGGGCATCCAGCCATGGCAGCAGATGGGTCCAGGCTGGTCCCTGGGAGGGTGCTCGGACCCCGTGGCTCATTCATCTGTGTGCTCTTCACGGCTTGCCCGTGTGTACCAGGCCCTGTGCCTGGTGCCGGGGCCACAGCAGCAAACGAGGAGCGAAAAGCCCCTGTATTCGTGGAGCTGCCTTAGAAGAGCAGGCAGACCATGGCCACGATGAAGAATGAAGTGTTAGGTGAGGGGACAAAGCAGGGGAGCCCTTCCTTCTTCCATGCCCCGCTCCCTGCAGGGCCTCGTGGCTGGGCTCAAGCCTGCTGGGCTTCTCTACCTGTCACACGGTGGGGCAGGTGCGGCACCTTGCTGCCATGGTGATTCCTCCAGCTCTTTGCCAGGTGCCCCCTCTCCATGACATGAGGGGTTCTCTGATGCTCTCTGTCCTCACCTGTGCCCCTCAGGCGGGCAGACACAGTGATGGGGCGATGCCACCTTCACACTGGCTCGGCTCCCTCCTTTCCCTTCTCTTTCTTTCCTCTCTCTCTCTGTCCCATTCTGGTCTCTGAGTCTTCTCTGGTTCTGTCTCTCAGGCTCTCCCTGTGTCACTGTCCCCCTCTCCCTGTGCCCTTCTCACCCTCTGGCCGTGGATGTTTGTCCTGGCACTGACCCCACCTGGCTCCTCCTGGGCCTGTCTTTGCGTCTCTCCACTCCTCTCCTCTGTCTGACACCTCTTTTTTTTTTTTTTTTTTTTTTTTTGAGATGGAGTCTCATTCTGTTGCCCAGGCTGGAATGCAGTGGTGCGATCTCAGCTCACTGTAATCTTTGCCTCCCAGGTTCAAGCGATTCTCCTGCCTCAGCCTCCCGAGTAACCAGGATTACAGGTGCCCGCTACCACACCTGGATAACTTTTGTATTTTTAGTAGAGACGGGGTTCTCACCATGTTGCCCAGGCCGGTCTCAAACTCCTGACCTCAAGTGATCCACCCTCCTCGGCCTCCCAAAGTCCTGGGTTTACAGGCTTGAGCCACCGCGCCCGGCTGTCTAACACCGGTCTTTTTATCTCTGCCTCTCCATCACCCTGCACATGACCCTCTCTTGCCCCTGCTAAGGCAACCTCAGATTGCCTTTGGGACACTCTCCTGGTGAGTGAAGGGCAGGAGAGGCTGCCTTTGGCAGGAGCACAAAAGGCAGGAGTGGGGTCTGGGCCCCGCTGCTGATAGTCACCTGACCCTCTTGGGCTCAGGGCCCTGTTCTCTCTGTCCCTCTTCCCAGGCCTGGCCTGTCCCTTCACCTCTTCTTTCATCACAGCAAGGTCTCTCTGTCCTCCCCCCGCACTGCACCTCCATCCCTGGCCCTCTGTCACTCTCCGTCTGTCTTGGGCAAAAGCTGGATACATCCCACTCTTAGGAGGTGACCAAGTTACCAAGGGGGAGGCCTGGTGCATTCCAGGCACCAGGCCTCAGTTTCTACATCTCCATGAAGGGGATTCGATTCCCACCTTCCTCGTGGGTTCGTCGTGGGGTTCAGCTGACATAACACTTGCCAAGGCTCCACACAATCCCCAGCACGTGCTGGGAGCCCACAAGGGTGAACTCTGTTCAGTTGTTCCACACGCACTTCCCCAGCACCTCCCTGGCCAGGGCTGGCCTGCACGCTGGGGACATGGAGGTGCCCAGGATCAAAGAATTCTGTGACGTTCTCGGCCTGAGGGAGAGACAGACGTCAAAACCACAGTGTGTCATGGCTGAGGCCGAGAGTCAAGGGACGCTCAAGGCAGTGTGGGGACAGAGGAGCAGCTCACCAGAGGCAGCATGGGCCCCCTGGAGGGGGTCACTCTCAGCTAAGACCTGACAGCTGCATGAAGAGGGGAAAAGAATGTTTTAAGCTGGGGTGGAAGGGGCATGGTGGGGTCAAATGGTGGAGAGATATGAGGGGTAAGGCTGGTGAGAAATGGGCCAGAAGGGAGTGGGGGGGCAGACAATGTGGGGTCCACAAAGCTGTTGCAAAGAGCTCAGACAGCAGGCACAGTGGCTCATGCCAGTAATCCCAGCACTTTGGGAGGCCAAGGCAGGCAGTTCACCTGAGGGCGGGAGTTCGAGACCAGCCTGACAAACATGGAGAAACCCCATCTCTACTAAAAATACAAAATTAGCCAGGCATGGTAGCGAATGCCTGTAATTGCAGGTATCCAGCCTGGGCAACAAGAGTGAAAATTCTGTCTAAACACACACACACACACACACACACAGAAAGCTCAGATTCTGTCCCAGGGGTAGTTGGGAGCCATGCAGGGCATCAGGCAGGTGCTGGTGTTCTGGGGTAGGCATTTGGAAAGATGCCTTTGGATGGTGAGGAGAAGGCAGAAGGAAATGGGATGAAGAAGGCAGTGCAGAGAAAGAACAGGCTGGGTGTGGGGACCTGGGAGGCTTCGGGGTCTGTCTTGGAGAATGGGGTGGTGGTATCATCTTAGTTGGTACCTGGGCAGCAATAGGACCAGCCAGGCTCTTGGGCACCAGCTTTCAGCCCTGGGAGGCTGGAAGCCCCTAAGGAATCCCAGGCCCTCACCTGTGTTTCCCCCCCCCCACTACCCCAACCTGGGCTGCAGCACAGGAGCGACTGCCTGTGACATTGCCCAGGGGGTATCCCAGGACAGCCTCAGGGCTGGGCCACCTGCTGGGCCATGCTGGAGCTTGGGACCCATTCCTCTGTCCAACACCCCCGGCTGCTGGTCTCTCCATCAAATGGGGAGAATGAATCCACCCCTGCCACCGAGCTGCTGAGGGTCAAGTGAGAGCCCAAATGTGATGGTGCGGGTGGGTGGTGAGGCCTTCTTGGTACCCTAGTTGTGAGGAGGGCGAGCTGACTCCGCCCCAGCCACTGTGTGAGTCCCTCACATGCATCCCCTCAGGAGGCAAGTCCTAGCCTCATCTTCACTTTCCAGAAGAAACAGAGGCTCAGGGAGGTGAGGGCCACTCAGCTAGAGGCACAGTGAGAAGGCACTCACAGGGCTGTTGTCCCCTGACCTGACTGGGCCTTGGTGGACAGAGGCTGAAAGCCGGCGTTGCATGGGGCAAAGCCCCTTCTGGTCCCATCCTGCTGAATGCCACAGCTACCGCTCCGCAGGTGGGCACCAAGGCAGGGCTGACTTCATGCCCATCAGCCAGTCTCTGGGCATCTCTGCAAGTGTCTCGGGGGGGGGGGGCGCCAGAACCCCAGGCAAGGCCAGGCTGTGGGGGTGGGGTGGGGTTGGGCTCCCGGCTGACGGGTCACCCACTCCCTGGGTCTGTCCTCAGGGGCCGTACATCTTCCTGGTCTATGGCGTCTGCAATGAGGAGGTGAGTCTGGGGGCGCCGGCTGCAGGGAGCGGGGTCCAAAGTGTGAGGAGGGTCCCCGGCCTGACCTCCAAGTGTTTCCCCAGGTGCAGAGCGCCCTGCAGAGGATGGCTGAGAAGAAGGTGGCTGCACTGTTCAGGGCAGTGGGGGTGTGGGTGAGGGTGGGATGCCCCCAGGGCCAGGTCCCAGCCCCCACACCCTCTCCTTTCAGTCCTGTGCCAGCCTTGCCAGCAGGGGAACCAGCCTGAGGCCCCCAGGTCCCTGGGAGGCAGCCCGAGGCAGCCCCAGGGCCTTGGTTCCACCCCGGAGACACATGGCTCTCAGAGGTACTCTTAGCACCCAGTGGGAGTGCCACCAGTGCCTCAATTTCCCCAGTACTCAGGTAGAGCTGAGAGGACAAGGTCCTAGTGGCCCATCTGAAAAAAGGAAACTCGGGCCCTGGGACTTGAGGAATGTCCTGTCACTTGCTCCCCACTGCTAGGAAACCTGGGCTTGTGGGGCCTGGCCCTGGCATGAGGCTTGTCCAGGTGACCTTCCCTGGGGCTCCATGCAAACGGATTTGGGGGACTCCTGGAGGTGGTGAGTAAAATGGGGTCAGACCCTGAGCAGGGCATAGGTTGAATGACCTCAAGGCCAGGCCAGGGATTCCCATCCTAGCTCCCAGTACCCTCTGTATCCCTGGCCATGTTCCCCTCCCTCTCCGGGCCTCATTACTAATCTGTGGGGTGAACCTTGGAGTGAATTCACAGCGAATCTGATCCTGAAGGTCCCACTCCCGGGATGGAAGCGCAGAGAGAGGGCTTCCTGCTTCGTGTCTCTCCAAAGTTTGCGTTTTCCCCATTAGGGACCTACGGCCCTAGAACCCCCTCAGCCTTCTCCTCCATTGCAAACCCCGAGAGACAGGTGAGGCTGCAATAAGGTGGGCACCACAGGGCTCTGCTAGGGGGTGGCAAGGCCAGCAGGTAGGGTCAGGAAGCCACAGGGCTGGGGGTGGGGCTGGGGTGGGGGCTTCCCCAGGATCTGTTTCTCTGTTCCTGGGTTGAAGGGTCCAGGGAGGGGAACTGCTGGCCACAAGCTGGCAGAGGCCCCTATAGCCAAGGGCCCTCAGGGCAAGGGGCAGCAAAAGGGGGGGCCACCCCCGTGACAGCCCCTCTGTCCTCAGGCTGTGGAACTGACAGCGTTCAAAGCTTCAGGTATAGTCCCCACCTCAGGGGGTCCCCTCTTTCCTTTTTGGGACTGTACCAGGATGGAAGTGATTTGAAATCAATCACACCCAACCTCCCACAATTGCAGAGGCCCTCTCCTTACTTGGCAGGTCCTCTGGGAGCACTGGGGGCCTGGCAGAGAACAGGCAGTGCCCCTTGGGAGGAGTTCATTAGAGAATAGGTCGTGTAACCCTATTGAGAGTGGGCGCTGCCGAGGCACACAGCCTGCCTTCCTCTGTCCTCCCCCAATTTCTGGCCCACAAGCCCAGCACACCCCCTCACCCTCTGAGGGCCTTGTCTTGATGCCCTGGGATTCAGAGCCTTCCAAACCCACTGAGGGACAGCGCTTTCCTCCAAAGCTGCGGGTCCCCAGCTGGACAGCTCATAGGGTCATGACGGGGCTGGGGAACTGTGGGAGGCTGAGAACACCCCAGGTGCGACTCAGGGAGAGAACTGAAGCCTGGGGAGCTCAGCCGGGCCCAGGGGATCCATGGGACCCTGCCTGCTAACTGCCTCCCTGAAGGGACACTCCCTCCATCTGAAACCCACATGCCCCAGCCTCAGCCAGGTGACTGTTTCCAGCGAAGGCAAGAGCCCTGTCGGCCAGGCTCCCCCCAGGGCGCCAGGCTCAGGCCTCAGCCCAGGCACCTGCTGATTCTGATCCAGTGACAGGAAAGTGGAGGTGCCTTTCTCCACCCATTGCGCGGATGAGGAAGCTAAGGCACAGAAACGGGCAGCCGCTAGCCAGAGCCCGCCAGGGCCAGGCCCCCACTGGCGCAGATGCGGGACCCGAGGCACAGCAGTATCCACGTGGGTGAAGCATAGGCCACGTGAACCTGGGTCCGTGGGATCCCAGGCCCCGGCCAGCCCCCAACCCCGGCTGGCGTCTCGGTCCAGGGAGTCTCAGCATCCCCATCTGCAGAATGGGCTGGAGGCTCCCCCAACAGGCCCGCCCAGGCGCCCCCGGGGGCCAGAGCGCCCTTCCCCCACCCTCCCCGCCCCCACCCGCGGGCGCCGCGGCTGCAGGAACAAGAGAGCGGCGGCGGCGCCTCTGCGCTCAAGTGACGGCGCCTTTGTCTCCGCTGAATGGGTGCGTTGCTAGGGCCGCTCGTAGCAACGGAGCCGCTTCCACCTGGGCCCCACCCTCCGGACCCCCTACCCGGCCGGGCTCTCCGGACGCCCCCGCTTCCAGTCCCCACCCCACCCCGCAACCCATTCAGCGGGGCAGCGGGGGCTGCCGGGCTGTGTCCCTCGCGGGCCGCCACCGCCCCTCCTAAAAGGCCTCAGAGCCCTGGGGCATGCGAGGATGGAGAAACAGACGCATAGAGGGGACTGGCCAGGGTCTCCCCCACCCTCAGTTCCCAGAGCCCTTCCATCCCCGGCTTCTCCACCAGGACCCTCTGCCAGCCCAGCCCAAGGGCGCACTTTCCCACTAGGTTTTTAAAGCGTGCCTGGGAAACTCGCAGTCAAACCCTGCCCAGCTCAGCTCTGCCAGGACCCCAGACCCCAGAACGGCACAGCGGGAGTCCTCCAGAGCCAACAGCGGCCCCTGCTCCAGCGTCCTCAGCCCCTCGCTTTCCCTAAAAGAGTGTGAGCCCCAGTCCCGAGCTCCCCTAACCCACTGAGTCCTTAGGCTCTTTCCCCCAGGCTCTGCCTGTGATCTGCTCCTTCCCACCTGCCCCCGAAGTTCCAATGGGCCCTGCGGTGTCTGGTAATAAATAGGACTGTTGGGCTCTCCTGTCCTCTGAGTCCTGGCCTGGGCAAAGGGAGAGGACGCAAGGCTCTCTGGGAGGAGGGAGGAAGCCAGAGAAACTGCACTTGGCTTTGGGACTCCAGGGCCTCAGCCTCATCATCAGGGTAGGCGCAGCCAGCATTTATGAGCACCTGCTGTATCCCTGGAGAGAGGGCTGAGCCCTTTACCACCTTAGAGCCCTGAGCCGCCATCACTTCTGCTATACAGAGGACACAGGCTCAGACCAGTCAGTCCTGGGGTCTCCCAGGCCCTGTAGCACAGGGGGCAGGGGTGGCAGTCAGTGTGAGTGGGGGCCCCAGCTTGCAGACAGCTTGCAGGTCAGTTGCGAGTCTGGACACCTCTAAGTCAGGCCGTGGGACCAGGACCTGCCACCACCCATTATGTGGCTATAGGCAAGGTCATTTTTGAATCTTGGTCTCTTCTTGGTAGAATGGGTTTCAGGGCAGGGAGGGGAGCAGGAATGACATGAGGGCTGTGCACCAGGCCTGGTGCCAGGGAGGACCCCAAGGCCAGGGGCAGGGAAATAAGGGCCCAGGCACTGGGACGGGGAGCACCCAGGCAGCCAACACTGTCCTGCTGACACCAGCCTGGCTCACATCCTGCTGGGGCCAGGGGAGCGGGGACAGGGCTGGCTGAGAAGCAGCCAAGACAGCGAGGCACCCAGGGCTCCCAGGAGCCTCCAGCTTCCATGCTGGACCCTGCCTGGGTTGAGTCTGGGACAAAATATGTCCAGGGTGTTGGTCCCACCCACACAGGTGTAGGGTCCCAGGCCCTTCTTTCTGGGGATGGCTGTGTGGCCTCTCAATGCTCTGTCCGTTTTCTGCCAAATGGGGGACATCATGCCCACCCAACAGCCATTCGAGGGGTCTGCACAGTCCTGCGCTTGGTTCCTGGCACAGCGCTCAGTAGGCACTCAGGAAGTGTCAGCTGTAGCCTGAGACCGATGTTCAGGGCTGTAGGAGCCAGAGCCTGTGGCCCAGAGGGGGTTCAAGGCCTTGAAGGTACCAGGAGGCAGTCCAGAGAGAAGACAGCATGGCTCCACGGGGCCAGCAGACCCCTTTCCTGTGCTAGGAACACTGGGCCAAGTATGGCACTCTATCCCTAGCAGGGACAGGAAGGGTGGGCTCCTGAAGGGGCAGCAAGGAGGCAGGGCACTTGATGGCCCTCCGACTGCCTCCATCTCAGCATCCTCACCTTTAGCGGGCTCCTGTCTCCCCCAAAATCAATCATATGGGCTGTGGGGGAGGGGACAAAGGTGGGACCAAGGGATTCTTTCCCATCCCCTACTCCCCACCCCCCACCCTGTTCCATATCCCTCCTGCCCCTACACACACCCTCTTTACTCTCCAGCCAGAGTAACTTCTCTTAGGTCCCAAGACATGGCCGCTGACATCCCTCCATCCTTCTGCTCACACTGTTCCTTCTGCCTGGACTGTCCCTAGCTCCTATCTTGCTGGTGAACTCCTGGGCATCCTTCAAAACCCAATTTGGAGGACACCTCGGCTACAAAGTCCTCCTGTTCTCCAGACCCCTCATCTCTCCCAGGAGCAGGGTCAATCACTTTCTGATCTTGTCTGTCTCAGTTATATTAAGTATCACAACAGACGACAGTCTGGTTAAGACAGTCTCCGCCTATAAGGCTGGACATTGCCCAGGGCAGAAGCTAGGGCATCTGCATGTGCCAGGAAGAAGAGGGGCACCTTTTTCTTTGCATAAAAGCCACTGTCAAGCTCTGTGCCTATGGCTACATCACCCTAGAGGGGACACGTTTTTCTAATTTGCATGAAGGCCAGGGGTGGCCCTGGAGATGAACTAGTCAGTCTGGTCAAAGTGGATCAGGATCGATGGAGCTTTGCACGGTGCCCCTCAGCTGTGTGACCTAGAGCAAATTGTTGTGGCCCTCTGTGCCTCAGTTTCCTTGTCTGTAACCTGGGGATGCCACCTATGGAAGTGGCTGCAAAGAGCAGTAGGTGCAACCAGATGGGGCAGGAAACGCTGGGCAGGGGGCCTGGAGCCGAGGAAGCCTCGGATGGCGGTGGTGCTCACTGCCGCCACCACGTGGGACCAGGGGGGAATCTGTGAGGGATGTGGCAGGGCAGACAGGAAAGGGCTAGGGCTCTGAGAGTTCTGGTCTCCCAGGTCTGTGGCTCATGGGCCCTTGGTAAGTGCCTTCCCCTCCTGGAGTACAATCCCTGCCTCACAGGTCTGCTTCCAGGACAGTGGGATGAGGGGGGCACACAGTAGGTGCCCCTTAAATGGCTGCTCCTTCTGTTCCACAATAGGGAGCTGAGCTGGCAAGGCCAGGGCACAACAGGCAGAAAGGCAACAGCATCCTCGGGCCTCCCAGTGCCCCAGGGTCCCAGGGATGAGGTAGGGCCCAAACCCCAACAGTGCCTGGTGTCCCCCCACCCAGCCCCAAAACTTACCTGCCTCCCCAGTTTTGAACCAAAGAGGGTCTGCATGTCACCTCCCTCCAGGTCAGAGCACTACTCCACCACCAGACCACCCAGAACCCACCAGGGCCATTCTGCTTTGGCCCCAGAATGTAAACAGGCAAAGGTAGCTGGAAACTAATTGCAAAATTTATTCCAGGGCTGCGGGCGCTGGGGAGATTCTTAAGGGCACTTCTCATTTCAGGGCTGTGGGTCTCTGGCCTTGGCAGGGGCTCACATTTCAGGGGGCAGAGAGGGAGACTAAGACAGGGTGGCGGGAAGCAGGAGGCAGGGGTGCCCAGTCTCCTCCAACTGGGCAGGCTCAGCGCAAGCTGCAACAGTAACAGGAAAGCAAGGTGGACAGCAGGCACCCAGCCCAGGGATGGGAGACAGCTGAGGCCTCCCACTAGTGCCTCGCCCTGGAGAGTTTCTTTCATAACCTAGGGCAGGAGACCAGGGAGCTGAGGCCCAGCTTCACGAGTTTGCAGCAAGGGACCCAACAGGTTGGGGCCACAGGGAGGGGCTCAATAGTGCTGTCCCTGATCTACAGCCCCGTGCCCCTCCCAAGTTCACCTTCATTCCCACCCACAGACTTGAAGCCCCCAACAGGGCGTCCTGCGGTTCAGCAAGTGGGTGGAGGGCGGGCAACAGGTCTTCTCTGGGTTGGGGTTGGGGCTCAGAAGCAATGACCCAGCACCACCCCAAGGGTACTTGGTAGGCGAGTGTCTGGGGAGAAACCACCAGCTGTCCTTAGTGCCAGTCCCCAAGCCTCAGCTTCAGCCCTCAGATCTGTCCCCTTCCCTCCATCACACCTTTCAAGGGGTATCTAGAAGCTTAAAAACAAAAAGTGAGGGGGACCTCTTGACTACAACCTTGCAGATAAATACCAGCCTGGGAGGGCCACGTCTGGGTGGGACTAGGGTGTCGACTATACCAAACGTTCTCCTTGGGTGGGAGAGGGAATCAGTGATGACCGGAGCAAAGTTCTTTCCTGATGATGATCAAAGCTCCCTCTTGCAGAGTCAGGTGGAGCAGAAGGGCTAGGGAGGGGGACTCTTTGTCCTAACGAGTTCTCCTGCTGTCCTCTAGGGCCCAGTAGCCCCTCCCAGTTTAGCAAACTCAGTTATCCTTAGTTTACAAAACAGAGGACCTCCCTCCTGTTCTCCATAGGGGAACACTGGAGACCCTCTCCCTCCCCCAGTTGATACCTGCTCAACTTCTCCCTGTCTGTTTTCAGGAGAGGAGGAAGGGATGACCTCTGATCCAAGGGACATCGAGGCCCACTAGGGAATCCCGAACCTCCTCCCCCGACCTGCAGGCTTCAGAATCCAGGAGCGATTCTGAAGATCTGGGAGCAGGGCAGGGGCTGGCGGGGGTGGTTACCAGCCACCTCCTTTGGGCACTCCAACTAGCAGGCAAGTGCTGGTGGCTGGCCAGGGCCACCCCACCTCTGCCAGGCCCTGCCCAGCCTCACCCACCTTCCCAAACACACCGTGTCAGAACTCAGGGGCAGCGGCCTCTGGGACGGGGACGGGGCCGGGGCTCCTGGGTGGGCCTCGGAAAATGAAACACGTGGAGCCGGTGGGGTGGTGGCAGCCCCGCCCTGGCCCCGCCCCCAGCCCCGGCCCCGCCCCCTGCCCAGGCTCAAGTCTGCTTGGCTTGCAGCATCTCGATGAGCAGGTTGTTGCGGGGCATCTCGTTGCCCAGGTGCTTGTGGTACAGGTACTCCTTGGCCTGCATGCTCAGGGCCCGCACCTCCACTAGGCACAGCAGCAGCTGCTGAAACTTGTCCCCGCAGTGTGGGTAGTGGCATAGGGTGTAGTCCAGCAGGGCAGCGTTCGCCTTCTCCTGAGCGTCTTTAACCAGGCTGTGGTTATTCAGGAACTTCACGTCTGCAAAGGGAGGCGCTCAGTCACCATCGGGTCACCATCCATCCCCTTTGGGGCTGGGCAGCCAACACTGTCACCGGCATCACAATGCCACCTTCCCTATGACCACCGAAGACTTGCCACTGCCACCATCAACCATGCAACCAGGGTCTCCCTGCTGGGACCGTGTCACCATGACCATTGTTGTCATACTGGTTCACAAACACCACCATCGTCACTGACACCCACGTGCCTGTGCTCTTCATAAATGTGGCCAGTGCCAGCCATCAACAACCCATCCACAGTCACCTGTCACCATCATCACTGCCATCATCACCACCGTGGTCACAATGAACGAGAATCATGAAGCCCGTCACCAGCCTCCCTGGAAGTATCCCTAAGCAGTTACTAAAGCTCTCGGTTCCCCATCTGTAAAATGGGGGTGATGACAGTACCAACTTCACAACATGGTCCTGAGAATTTAGGGAACTGCTGTGTGGAAAGTGCTC